AGCACCAAATTCGTTTCATCATCTCGGGGTGATCCCATGTATTCACGAGTTTCATGATTTGTATCTTTTTCGTGTCAACACGTGGCAAGATCCAACTTTCCAAAAAGTTCCAGCGAAATCCAATGTCAGTTAAAACACGATGCGTGAAAGTCTTTCCTGTACTACACCTATGAATCTTTTTTTCAAAAAAAAAAAAAACTCCAAAAATGTTTGGCGAGAGAGATCAAGAGATGAGTGATATCGCTTTCTAACCTTCACAATCCCCCAAATCCCCAATAACTTCATTTACCTCTACTCCACGTTATGCAGTGATAATAGCAAAAGATCTTTCCCAACCTTGTCAGATGCTCCAGCCTTGTCAGTACATATTATTATATGTCCTTTAACATGCACGTTCCGAATTTCTGTGAACGACATACTTCCTGGAAAAAATAGTCATAGATTTTGGGAAAAACTTGAAAACACATATGTCTCGGTGGAGGAACGAATTTAAAAGAAATAACAGTAAAATATTTGAAAAATAAAAGTTCGCGCACTACCTTAACGTGTGGCTACTGTAGTTAGTGTCTCAAACTGCATGGAAGCCATTTTCACGCCGATATTACGTGATGGTGGGCTGCTATGCAGTTTCCAACTAGCGGCAGCCGACGTGTTGTGAAGACGTCATTTTTAAGCGCTTTTCCAGGTGCGCTTCACCGTCCGGCGAAATGGTCAAAGGGGTGAGTAAATCTTTTCGTTAGGGTAACCGTAAGACTGCAGTGTTCTCTACTACTGCGTGTGTCATAGAGTGAACGTAAGAACTAGCAGTAGTTGCGATTTTAGGGATGATGTGCTAATTTTAGAAGCTGTATGGTAACAAAGACAACTTCAGGACTCAAAAAGTCCTAATCGCTGCCAAACTTGGCAAAGCCGAACTACAACTAGCCGGAGACCATCCGCCAGCTGACAAGTTCCCGCTTGGTGTGGTATGTTGCATTACGATTACATTACTTTTTCTCAAACTAAATCTGATTCTTTTTTTTTT